AACTCAAGAGCCACCATTGTTCTCAACATTGTTCTCAATGGTGAAATATTAAAGGCATTCCCTTTGAGAACAGGAACTAGGCAAGGGTGATCGCTATAACCTCACCTAGTCAATATTGTACTAGAAGGCTTAGCGATAGCAATAAAAGCAGAAAAGGAAGTAAGAGGTATCCAAATTGACAAAGAGGAGGTAAAACTATCTCTTTGTGCAGATGATATGATAGTATACTTAGAAAACCCTCAGGAGTCAGCAAGGAAACTTCTAGAAATAGTTGACCATTCAGCAAATTGACAGGATACAAGAGCAACATACAAAAAATCAATTGGATTTCTCTACAGTGACAATGAGAATACAGAACTGGAGCTAAGAAAAACAATACCCTTGACAATAGCTAACCACAAGATTAAATACTTGGGAGTAAGTCTAACCAGAAGCACAAAGAATCTATTCAAAGTAAATTGCAAAACATTACTACAAGAAACAAAAAGAGACTTGGAGAAATGGAAGAATATACCTTGCTCATAGAAAGGAAGACTAAATATTGTGAAGATGACAAAACTACCAGAGGCCATCTTCATGTTCAATGCAATCCCAATACAAATACTAATTCCATTTTTCAACAAGATGGAAAAGGCAACCACCAATTTCATTTGGAATGGAAAGAGGCCCAGAATAAGCAAAGAACTCCTTAAAAAGAGAAACAAAGTTGGAGGCATCTCACTCCCTGATTTCAAATCCTACTACACTGCCAAGGTGGTCAAGACAGCGGGGTACTGGTACAATGACAGACACCTAGATCAATGAAATAGAATTGAGAAAGCAGAAATCAGTCCACCTACCTATGGTCAACTGATTTTTGACAAGAAAATTAAAACAGTTAAGTGGGGAAATGACAAATGGTGTTGGCAAAATTGGAAAACTATCTGCAGAAGACTCAAGTAAGATCCACATCTTACTCCAAGCACAAAAAACAACTCAAAGTATATCAAGGACCTAAGACGAAAACCAAGGACTATAAACTTCATTAGAGAACAGCTTGGGAGAATTCCACAAGCCCCAATCCACAACATAAACAGTCTTCCAAGCATCCTGCAAAATCTACAACCAGGAGAAGATAAAATAGTTGAATGGGACTTTCTACCAATCAAATCCCTATGCACATCCAAAACTTTTTCCAACAGGGTAAAAAAGGAAGCCACAGACTGAGGAAAAATATTTGGTAATGACATGTCCGGTATCTAGAATTTATAAAATACCCACACATCACAACAAAATAAAGGTAAACAACCCAATTGAAAAATGGGCACAGGATATGAACAGATACTTCACCAAAGAAGACATTCAGATGGCAAACAAACACACGATGTTCAAAATCCCTAGGTCTAAGAGAAATGCAAATCAAAACAACTATGAAATATCATCTCACTCCAGTAAGAATAGCAAAATTTAACAGAACAGCAAACAAGAAATGCTGGCAGGTTGTGGAGAAACTGGAACCATTATTCACTGTTCGTGGGAGTGTAAAATGGTGCAACCACTATGGAAGGAAGTATGGCCTTTTCTCAAAAAGTTGCAAATAGAGATATACCCTAAAGAAACCAGAACTGCCACCCAAGCAGATATATGCACACCCATGTTTATTGCTGCTTTGTTCATAATAGCAAGGAATTGGAAACAACCCATGTGCCCATCAACAAACAAATAGATAGAGAAGTTGTGGTATATTCACACAATGCAATACTATGCTTCATTGAAAAACAAGGAACTCATGAATTATCATACAAAATGGGTAACCTTGGAGTATGTTATGCTGAGTGAAATATCTCAGTCACAAAAAGAAAAATACTGCCACTGTTGTAAAGGGAGACTGACACTGGGGTTGGAGGGAACCTAAGGGAAAAAAAGGGGGATTAATTACATATACTGCAATGAAACAGATAAAGAAAGAGCTGTCTAAAAGGGATATATGATTAGGTATTACTATCGTGACAGGAGTCCAGAATGAAGGCTGCATAGGGGAGTGGACTGAGGGGGAGGGATAGTATAATACTGAAATATTTTTTTTTTACTTTTCAAAGAGAAGAGTGAACTGGAGGGGAGGGGGCAGGGTGGAAAGTGTGCAACAATGGAAATCTAGAATCTCTGTAAATTTTCATTAAAATTAATAAAAAAGGGAGGGAGAGAATTCTTGCTTGACTCCACAATCAATGCTCTTGGCACCAGCAGTCAGAAAATCAAAAGACAAATTGTGTTGGGAAAATCTGCTATTAGAGACCTCTCCAAAGTACTCAGAAGTAACGATGTCAATCTAGAGACTAAAGCATGCCAGATTCCAGGCCATGGTGTTCACAATTACTCGTTATGCATCAGAGAGCTTAAATGACTAAGGATGACAGAAGAATTGATGCCTTTGATTCTTGTGCTGGAGAAGAGTCGTGAATATACCATGGACTGAGAAGAAATGGGTCTGTCTTCGAGATAGTAAAACCAAATTTTTCCTTGGAGGCTAAGATTTTGAACCTCCATCTCACATACCTTAGACACATGGCCAGTAGAAACTGTTCCTTGGAGAAGGACGTCATTCTCAGAAGGGTGGAGGAACAAACAATGCAGGAAAGGAAGACCCCAGATGAGGTTTATTGCTATATAGTAACTTGGAGCAATGGAGGTAGGTGTGTCAAAGTCAGTGAGACTGGCTCAGGATATGGCAGGCTTCAGAGCTGTTGTACATAGGGTCACTATGAGTTGCATGTAATTCAACAGCACATGACAACAAAAACCACCACCTATGTACTACAAGTATAACTATTCCTCTATTGTTCATGGGATTTTCAGAAGTCTGTTTTTAAGAAGTATATCGCCAGTCCTGCTTCCTAGTCTGTCTTAATCTAGCAGCTCTACTAAAGCCTGTCTACCATGAGTAACCCTTGTGGCATTAGACATACCAGTGGCATAGCTTTCAGTATCACAACAGCCCACAAATTATCTCAGTACAGTAAACTGACTGAAATGATGTACCAATTAGAACAATATTCTCCCCAAACACAACAAACTGACAACTTAGTTTGTAACTCTAATAGTGAATCAGTCTTCAAACCATGCTTTAGGACAGAGTTCAGGTCTGTTGTTCATAGAGTCATTATCGGTCCTACTCTACTTGACAACAACATAATTATATACGAACGTCCCTATACCTACATGAAAAAAGATGATAAAGCTTCATTCCATATACTTTTGGCATGTTGCTAGGAGAGGTTATTCCTTGGAGAGGGACATCATGCATGGAAAGGTGGAAAGTTGTTAAAGGAGAGGAAGACCTCAACCAGGTGAGTTGACACAGCAACTGCAACAAAGGGCTGAGGGTGTCAGAGATTGCCAGGATGGCACAAAGTAGGACAGGGTTCAGATCTGTCCATATAGAGTCTCTTTGAGCTGTACTCCACTCAACAGTATCTAACAACAACAACAGTGTACAAACAGGAAGCTCTGGTGGCCTAGTGGTAAGAAACTGCACTGCAGTCCCAAAGGCATGTACCATCTGCTCCATGGTAGAAGACAATTTCCTCCTGTGCAATTGTTGTTGTTGCTGTTGTTTGGTGCCGTCGAGTTGTAGATGACTCATAGCGACCCTATGAATGAACAGCCTGAGCACTGTTCGTACATAGAGTTTCCGGAGGCAAGCCATTTCAGAAGTGGATGCCACTCCTGCTTCCAGGCTTGATTTAGTCGGGAAGCTCCAGCCAGCACTGTCCACCATGGGGACCCATTAACACGACTGACACATCACTGGCACAGTCTTCAGCATCACAGCAACCACAAGTTACCTCTGTACAGCAACTCACAGACCAGTGCTATACCACCTAGAAGAACGGCCTTTAAAAACTTGCCAGAGGATCAGCGATGGGTCAGTTCTGATTCATTGCAAATGTGCAGCTAGGCATATGCTTTGGTGTCCAAATGCAAGCAACTGCTGGGCTGTCCGGATTCCCTCCAGTCATATCTGTAAGTCTTTTGTGACTTGTAGTGAGCAAGTATATTCATTCATGTCCTATTTTCCTTAACTTCCTCCTGACACTATAGAGCAAGCAAGAATAAGAGTGGTATAATGAATTTAACATTCTCATTACTAAATTCCCTTCATACTCTTTTACCATTATTTCTCCATTGAGAAGCTTCTTTCCTTACTCAGAGACACTGTTTCATGTGACTTTCCTGGACCCCTGACACTGCTCTGGGTTAACCCTACTGGTCACCTCACACTATTCCTGGGAGAAAAACCATAGCAGTGCTGGAAATAATGATCAAGATCCTCTGCCATATTCATGGTCTGAACATAGAGACAGAAAAATGGAACATGATGAGAGAGGGGCAGGTATTTCAATGGCAGAGCTCAAAATTCTCTTATTGCCATAGAGTTGGAACCGACTTAATAGCTAATCCTCTAGTGGATTTCAAGAAGCTTTAAATCATACAGGAGGAGATTATCAATTTTTGTCTCACAGGCCTGCTTGTGAACTTGAATCATCAAAGGGGCCAAAGTGACCTTTGGAATAGCAGCACAACTTCCTGTGGAACACAACACCAGAGCTTCCTACAAAGTGCAGAGGGGTATGAAAAAGAGCTCAGGTGGAAGGCAGAGCCTGGGGAAAGCAAATGTTGCCAAGAAGAGAGAGCTTGAAGTTCCAGAGATGTTATTAAGTATTAAGTCACTCATTGCCTTTCCCTTGGGTAACCACTTGAACACACTTTTGGACAGTTTTACTTCCCAAACTCTAGCGTCCAGTTGTGTTTTGTTTTGCAGAAATTCCTTTGGAAAGCCTTGGGAACAACATTAGCATACTGCCAGGATACAGGCTTCGTAAGCTCACAGCTTAAGGAGTTTCTAATGGCACCCAACCAACTAGGAGATCAACGACAGGTGGGAGCTCTTTCTCTTAATTTTCTTCTTTTGGGAGAAGTTGTCTATTTCTAAAAACATCCAACAATATACTCAGAAGCTGTCACTAGAACTTTTAGGAAAGAAGGAAATGAGGCTTCCAAGTTTCAAATATCAACAAGTAATTAAAGAATAGAGTGTCAGTTCAGGCATCAAAATGTTTATTGTGGGGTATTGTTTATTTTTTTTCTGAATTGTGTCTCTCAGACCCTCTAAATGACCTCTGGGAAGTGTTAATAAATAAGTTTCTTAATCTCAGTGAGTCCAGACCGATTTTTTTAAAACTTATTTTATTATATTTTGTGTCTAGACCATCAAATCAGATCTGACTGGTACAAGAGAAGATTGCGCCTCCTTCTCCAGCAAAGCATCTGGTGGATTTGAACCATGTGCCTCTGGGATTGCAGTGCAGCTTCTTGCCACTATGCCACCAGAGCTCCCTAGATTGACTTTTGAAACCAAAAACTTGTTCTGCGTTCATTTTCTCAGCAGCCGAGTGTAGGAGTTGGTAAAGATGGGCTGCAGAGTTAAGAGGCATCAAGTTCTAGAAGTTGCCAGACTAAGTGAGAGGAGGATAATGGAATATGGATCGTAGTGTGGAAAGTTAGGGAGGAAGATGAGAAGTTAGCAAGATGAATAGAGAGCTAAAATAGAGAGCATAGGAGATGAGAGTACAGAGAGTAAAAGACACAGAGAACCTTGTATAAGGGCTGTCAGGCAACAAGCTCTCAAAGAATCATTTCAAGCATCCTCTGGTAGCTAAGAACTAAGAAAAGAACTCTTTGAGGCCTTGATGACAGGAGTCCGGCCTCTTGTGTTCTCATGGTTCTCAAGCTCCAAATGAAATATAAGAGGATTCATGAAAGTACTTTTATTAAAATCATCCTAGTGCAAGAGAGATGGGGAAGGGAGAATATGGGAATATAATCATAGCTTGTGGAGCAAGAGCTCACAGCTTTGAAAAAATTAATCACTTAAAATATCATAAAGTTTCAGCAGCAGAATGACCTGATACTTACCAACTCAAGTTTTTTTTAAAAAGGAGAGACAGAAATCTTCATTGGAATTCTCTAGTATAAGATTAGGAACTTCTACTAGCCTAGCAATAAGAAGCTGTGCTGAGATCCCCAAGGAGCAAGGTTCAGATCCACCAACTGCTCCGCGAGCGGATGTGCAATTTCTTCCCGTGTGATTTACTGCCTCTGAAAACCCACTGAAGTGTCAGCTATGAGTCAGTTCCAATTTGACGGCAAGCAACAAGAAGAAGTCTAGGATGAAAACATTAAAACTTCAGAATGGCCTGAAAGGCCCGCCATAGAACCAAGCCTCTGCTTCTCCGACTTTATCTGACCCTGCTTTTCTTGTCATTTGCTCCACTCTATGCACCTCCTCTGTGGTCCTCAAGGCCTTTAGAAGAACTTACTGTGTTTAGAACCATCCTTTTCAGATAGATAATCTAATGGCTCACTCTTTCACCTGTTTCTATTTTCTCTCTGTGTTCCCTATTGATAAGATCTCCTCTGACCATCCTATTTAAATTGCAAGTTAACCCTTGTCCTCACCAATTATTTCTTTTTTGCTTTTTCCCCCTTCTGCATAGCACTTACCTCCATGATAAAAAATTTACATGTTTATGTAGTGATTTCTCACCATCACTTCCCTTCACCGTGTGACACAGAAGGATGGAGATTACGATGTGCTCTGTTCACGACTATATCCTCAAATACTCCATGTGGTGCCTGGCATATAATAGGTGCTCAATAAATATTTGTTGATTTACTGTCTGGTTCCATTCACAATCCTGTACCTTTTCTGATTTTTAGGGAGTAGCATCTATTTTAGGACACTGTGCAGAAAACCATTTTGATGTTGTCTTAAAAGTCCTTAAAGCTTTCCAAGATCGAGAAAAATTTTTCGTGAATCGATGTAAGGTAAGGAAAATGATACTGATCCCATCAATGAATATTCCTTCTCCATGGTACTCTTAGTCCTTATTCCAAGTCAAAACTGCTCAAACCCAGGCCCTATAAAGTGACCAATTCTGTAAAAATCTACTTCATTTTGCCATCTCTAATGCTAAATCCCTGGGTGGGGCCAAAGACTAATACACTCAGCTGTTAAATGAAAGGTGACGTTTTGAACATACACAAAGCCCCCTTGGAAGAAATGTTCGGTGATCTAATGCCAAAAGATCAGTCATTGAAAACCGTATGGGCCACAGTTCTACTCTGGCACACATGGGGTCACGACGAGTCAAAATGAGACACACAAGAAGGAGCTCTGGTGACCTAGTGGTAAGAAGTTGCACTACAATCCCAGGGGTGGCTGTTCGAATCCACCAGATACTCTGCCGGAGAAGGAGGGACAATCTCCTCCTGTACCACTCAGATCTGATTTGACGGTAAATATACAAAAAATAATAAAATAAAATATAAAAAATACATACAAATGAGCCCCACAGCAACCGAGTTTTTGTTTAATACTGATGTGGAAGATCACAGTAAGGTCTAGATATGTCCTCTTTGATTCCTATATCAGCTTCTGATTTCCTAGGGGAGAGGAAATTTATTAAAAGTTAATGTTCGTTTTCTCATAACCACCTCTCTTAACACCTACTAGGTTCCTGACAGAGATGTGGGTCTTAAATTTGAACAAACCACCTTGCACAAGTTTGAACTGATTTTAAGCCCTGTAGCTTAGTGAGGAAATGTGCTGTCAACCGAAGGGAACTTGGTTTAAATCCACCAGGTGTTCCAGGGCTTGTGGAGAGGGGCAGGGAGGGAAAGGATCGGCATTCTCCTCTAGTGTGATTTACTACCTCCGAAAAAAGCCAGCTGTAGGGTCACCTAAGTGTCAGTTTCCATTTAACCGTACATAGCAACAACAACAAGTGTTCTGTAGAATTAGAAGGAAGTAGGTTAAAAAGTTATGAGGAGAAGTGTGACGTCAGGATTGGTGGAAGATCTAATAACAATCTGCGTTATGCAGATGACACAACCCTGCTTGCTGAAATTGAGGAGGACCTCATGCACTTGCTGCAGAGGGTCAAGGACTGCAGCCTTCAGTATGGACTGAGGCTCAATGTCAAGAAGACAAAGATTCTCACCACTGGTCCAATTGGTAGCATCAGAATGGATGGTGAAGAGATTGAGACTGTTCACAGCTTCCATTTGCTCAGCTCCACTGTCAACACTCTTGGCACCAGCAGCCAGGAAATCAAAAAACGTATCGCGATGGGAAAGTCTGCTGTTAGAGACCTCTCCAAAGTACTGAAGAGCAACGGTGTCTCTTTGGAGACTAAGGTGTGCCTGATACAGGCCATGGTCTTTGCAATCACTTGTCATGCGTCAGAGAGTTGGACAATGACTAGCGAGGATAGAAGGAGAATTGATGCCTTTAAGCTATGGTGCTGGAGAAGAGTATTGAATGTACCCTGGACTACCAAGAAAACAAACAGATTCATCCTGGAGAGGGTTAAACCAAGCAACTCCTTGGAGGCAAGGATTCTGGAGCTTCGTCTGACATACTTTGGACATGTTGTAAGGAGAGACAGGTCCTTGGAGAGGGACATCATGCTTGGTAGGGTGAAGGGACAGCGCAGGAGGGAAAGACTCTCTATAAGGTGGATTGATTCAGTAACTGGGGTAATCGGAATGGGTGTGTCAGAGGCAATGCGATTGGCACAGGATAGAGCAGGGTTGTACCTAGGGTCGCTATGAGTCACAAATGACTTGACAGCACATAACAAGAACAACAAGATTAAAAAGACATGAGGTATTTGCTGCGGAAGGTCACAGACTATAGTCTTCAATATGAGTTGAAGCTCAATATTAAGAAAACAAAGATTCTCACCACTGGGCCAATTCAGCAGCTTCATGATGAAGAAGAAAGGGAGGTCGTTGATAACTTCAGCTTACCTGGTCCCACAATCAACGCTCTTGGCACCAGCAGTCAGGAAATCAAAAGATGAATTGCACAGGGTAAGTCTGCTATCAGGAACCTCTCTAGAGTACTAACGAGCAATGATGTCAGTCTGGAGACTAAGGTGCACCTGATTCAGGCCATGGTCTTCACAATTACTTGCTACACATCAGAGAGCCAGACAATAACTAAGAATGATAGAAAAGGATCAATACCTTTGAGTTGTGGTGCTGGAGAAGAGTGTTGAACATACTGTGGACTACCAGGAGAACAAACAGATCTGCCCTGGTAAGGGTGAAACCAGGCTTCTCCCTGCAAGCAAGGATTCTGAAGCTCCATTTCATATACTTTAGGAATATGGCCAGGAGAAATCAGTCCTTGGAGAGGGGCATCGTGCTTAAAAGGGTGGTAGACAGCACAGGCGAGAAAGACTCGAGATGAGATGAATTGACTCAATGACTGGAAAAATTAGTCTGTCAGAGACGATGGGACTAGCTCAGGATAGGGCAGGTTTCAGAGCTAATGTACATGGGGTCACTATGAGTTGATAGCTCAAAACAACAAGGGTAAAAAGAAAGGGAACTACATTGGTCACAATTTCTCTTCCTCTCTTTCTGGTTTCCAGGGTCTTTTCTCTGGTAAAAAGAACCTGTCCAAGACAGACATCATGATCATCTACGGAGCTATGGCCCTTCATGCGCCCAAAGAGCAACTTCTTACCAGGGTAGACCAAGACATGGTGTCTCAAGTCATGCTTCTTTACAACCAGTGCTGTCAGGTAATGGCCACCACAGGCTGCCTTGACTTACAGACTGGAGCTCTCGGACTTCCGAGGAGCTCAGCTCTGGGAAATCCTCAGGGTCACAGAATTACATACAGATCAAAGGACACAGTCCAATGGAAACATAGGATCTGGCATATAGGGGGATGGGAAAATGAGATGGGAGTAGAAAAGGTATTATAAAAGGGAAGACCACAGGCAATTCATTTCTTTATGTATGTCCTACAAGTTCCAGTCCTGGGGGCTCTTGTGCTGTGGCCTGTAATGAATTGTTTTGCTAGATCAAAGGTTACACTTCTCTGGCAGCTTGAAACCACTTGTGACTCTGCTGGAGGGGAATAAAAACAAACAAACTGGGAATGTCTCATAGATTGATTTACAGCCTTGGAAAACAACTCAATGACTCCGTTCCAACTCAATGGCAATGAGAGATAGAAGGAAGTCCTATCTATGATGTCTTCCCAGATAGATCAAGTGCTTTCTGGATCTCCCTTTTGCTGGAATTTAAAGCAATTTTTCTTGTCCCAAGAGCTCAGATTTGTTGTGCTACCAAATCCACCAGCTGCTCTGTGAGGAAAAGACGGGCACTCTCCTCCTGCGTGATTTACAGGCTCTGAAAACCTCCTGGAGGGTCAGCTATGAGTTGGGTCCAATTTGGTGGCAGATCGCAACAACAATTCTTGCACCCCCTTTGGCAAAGTAGGTAACATAGATTATTGATGAGTCAGTTGTGACTCATAATAATTCTCTGTGACAGCAGAACTGTGCTCCACTGAGAGTCTAAGTGTTGGATTTTCAGAAATATTTATCCAGACCTTTCCACCAAAAGTACGTATGAGTGGATTGTAATGACTGGCCTTTAAATTAGCATTGAAGTGCTTAACTAATCCCATCAGCTGGTTCATTACTTCCTTATAATCATACTTGGCTTCTAACCAAAACATTGGTGGTTCACACCTGCCCAGAGGTGCCTTAGATGAAAAGCTTGGACATATATTACTAAAAAAGATCAATAATTGACGAAATATTCTGTAACATGGGCAAACTAGAACACATTACGCTGAATCACATAAATCAGACAATTATGGTATTAGATGGCTAATATAAGAAGCTGAACAACAGTTTCTCGGATGAGTTTGTCTTAGATAGGCTCTTTATTCCCCAGAGAAAAGACCCTGAAAACCAGGAAGAAGGGCATGCAAACTCAATTAATTCCATATTTATTCCAGTCATCCTGACCCTTCCTGACATTCCTGAAATATATCAAGACTGTGTCGATGCTAGAGTCACCTAACTAAGTCAGAATTCTGATCATTTCCGTCTCCATCAGCATTTTCTTCCTACCTTTAATCAACAGCCTTTTACATATTATCGATTCAGACATTTGCTGAATTGAATTTCGGTTAGCTACATAAGAACCCAACAGGGGTCAAATTTAAAAATAAAGCTTTTCCAGGAACACTGTAGGTGGGTATTTGTTAGAGATCTTTACACGACTCTCATCCACAGCCACCTTGGGGAGCTTTGTTGATTAGACACCCTCTGCTTCTCCCATTACATTGCCAACATCATGATGTTACACCTTACAATCCCGTCTCTCTTCCTCGGGGCTTCATGTTTGAGATATGGATGCCCTTGACACTCATTCATGTGTCAACGTAATAAGAAAGAAATCTCGGAGCATTGCAATGTCATAGATAGAAGTATATGCTGATGGGCAATAAAAGACAATGATGCTCACACCTTACCTGCACCAGAATCACTTGGAAAGCATGCTAAAAACAGAAAACTGCATGAACTGCAATCTTCAGGTATAGACTCTATTTTTTTTAATATGGTCTTTAGGAAATAACATGTGCATCCAGAATTTGATAATCAATAAAAAGAATCAAAAGTAATATAAGGTTTAAACTAACTTTTAAAGGTTAAACTAATTTTCAGTCAACCATTGAGAATATTGAAGAATAAAAGAAGGGAGGTAAAGATGACTTCTTCAGAGTATGAAGAACAGCATATATTCATATAGCATATGAATTCCTAAATCTCACTCTACTATGGAAAAACTCATATTAGAAACCAAAGGAGTTACGGGGAGAATGGATGAAAGACCGAACTCTAAAAATTGTTTTCTAAATGTCGTGTTAAAAAAATTGGGAACCTAATGAAAGTTGAAAACCAAGTGGCATGGTTTCCCACATGATAAATAGTTGTAGTTGCTGTTTTTATGTGCTATCAAGTTGCCTGTGACTCTTCGTGACAATTGAGCACAATAGGTCTTAACCTTGCCCTATCCTGAGCCAGACACATTGACTTTGACACACCTACCCCTAGCTTTTTATCCTAGTTTCTGTGTCAATCCATCTCATCCAAGGTCTTCCTCTCCTGAGCTATTCCTCCACTTTTCAAAGCATTATGTCCTTCTCCAATGACTGGTCTTTCCTGGCAATATGTCCAAGGTATGTGAGACAGAATTTTAAAATCCTTGCCTCCGAGGAGAAACTTGGTTTCATCCTCTCTGTGATAGACTTGTTTGTTCTCTTAGTGGTCTGTGGTATGTTCAATACTATTCTCCTGCACCACAACACAAAGGCATTGGTTCTTCTGTCATCCTTAGTCATTGTCCAACTCTCTGACACATAGCAAGTAATTGCAAAGACTATGAATCGGGCACATCTTAGTCTCTCTGCACTCACATCATTACTCTTTAGCACTTTGGAGAGGTCCCTGACAGACAACTTTCCCAAAGCAAATAATTTTTTTTATTTCTGGACTTCTTTTTTTAATTAAATTTTATTCCTTTTAATGAACATTTACAGAGATTTTGGGTTTCCATTCATTCATTGTTGCACTATTTTCTTTACCTCCTCCCCAGTTCGGTCCCCTCCCCCCCCCCGAAAGTCTGTTTTAATTGTCCAATTGCGATTTCCTGACTTCTGGGGCCAAGAGTGCTGATTGTAAAACCAAGCAAGCTGAAATTGTTAACAACCACAATCTGTTCTCCATCTATTATGACGCTGCCATTTGGCCTACTGGTGAGAATTTTTGTCTTCTTGATGTTGAGCTTCAATCCATATTGAAAGACTTCAGTCCTTAACCTTCTGCAGCAAATGCTTCAGGTCCTCAATTTTGGCAAGCAAGATTGTGTTATCTGCATAATGCAGGTTGTTGATGAGTCTTCCTCCAATCCTGGTGCCACATTTTTCCTCATAAAACCCACCCTCTTGAATGTTCTGTTCCTCATACAGTTTTAAAAGATATGGAGACAAGATTGATCCCTGATCCACTCCTTTCCTTATTTTGAACTATGCAGTCATTCCTTGCTCTATTCTGATGACTGCATCCTGGTCCAAGCATAGTTGTCACAAGAGCACAATCAGATGTTCTTGGATTCCCATTATTTACAAGGTTAGTCATAATTTGTGGTGATCCACATAGTCAAACGCTTTGTGTAGTCAATGAAACAGTCCTCTGGTACTCGTTGCTTTCTGGCAATATCCATCTGACATTGGCAATAATGTCTCTAATTCTGAGGCCTCTTCTAAACATAACTGTCAATGTACTTTTCCAGTCATTTTTGGATATTCTTCAGCAGGCTTTTGCTTGTGTGTGATATGTGTGATATTGTTTGATTATTTCCACACTCTGCCAGGTTGTTTAACTAGATTAACTAGAGTGCCAAGAAGGCAAAGCAAAGGGAAGATAGGAGGAAGAGGCTGAGCAGAAGATTTCAAAGGGCAGAGCCAGAAGACAAAACAAAGTATGACATGAAATCTGCAAAGAGCTGGAGTTGGAAAATTTTAAGGGCTGAACTCACTTGTCATTTCATGAGCTGTAGGAACTAAAGAACAACTTCAAGCACTAAGTTGCAACACTTAAGGATGCTTTGGGCAGAATATTGAATGATTCAGGACACATTAAAAGAAGATGGAAAGAGTACACAGAGTTACTATACCAAAAGAATTGGCTAACACAGAATAATTACATGAAGCATTAAGAAACAATGGTGATGAAGGAGGAAGTTCAAACTGTTCTAAAGGATTTGGCAAAAAACAAAGCCCCAGGAATTGACGGAATATCAATTGACATATCTCAACAAACAGATGCTCCCCTGGACATGCTGATCAAATTGTGCCAAAAAGAAGATAAAGAGTTAGGAAGTACATGAATTCTACCTTTACAAATGAGATGAAGGAGACTTATCTGAAGTCTAATAAATAGTCATAATGCTGCATATGGGTCTATAAGTTTCATAATACACATCATACTGAAATCGTTATTGTTGTTGATTGCCTTCAAGTCAAGAACAACTCATAGCAACCCTATGAATAAAAGACCTGAAGCCCCTCTACAACTATCGACATTTATCAAAGTTCATAGAGTTTCCCAAGGCGTGTTATTTGAGAAGTGGATGCCACTCCTGCTTCCAATAGTTGATAGATATTTAAGGAGTATGTGTAGACATTTTGGGTACTGGTAGTTCCCAATTTGGCCTTTTGGAGGAAGTGTAACCAGGGTGGTCATTAGAGGTGACGATGCTGAAATTTCTTCTCACAGTCTCTGGGAATGTTGTTAAGTATGCAGAAAAAGACATCATGTTGGAAAAGGTAGAGAGGGTCAGCAAAATAGAAGAGGGCCCTCAACAAGATGGACTGACACAGTGGGTGCAACAATGGACTAGAGCATAGTGCAGATCACAAGGATGACACACAATAGAGCAAGATTCCTCACAGGGAAGTCAGCATTGTTCTTGAGGCTCCCATTCATTGGCACCTGAAAACAATGGCATCCAACTTATAATGAGGTTCTGTTCTGACAACTCCATTGTCAGTCATTTCATCCATAAATCAGTACTTGTTTGAGGTATTTTTTTCCTCGTCATTATTATCTTTTATTATTAGTATCTTTAGAAATCTGATCTTTATTTATTTCTGTCATCATGGTGGTGTACCTTTGAGTCAGAATCAACCATAGTTGACCCTCCAGAGAGTTTTCAGAGGCAATAAATCACAGAGGAGTAGATTGCTCCTCTTTCTTCAGTTGAGAAGCTCATGGATTTGAACCATGTGCCTTTGGGACAACAGTGCAGTTTCTTACCACTAGGCCACCAGAGCTTCCTTTATTTAACTTTGAGAATTAGAAATATTACATATAAACATCAGCATTGTGTATAGTTGTTGTTGTTGTTGTTATGTACCATAGAGTTGGAACCAACCCATAGGTGACCCTCCAGCAGGCTTTCAGAGGCAATTAATCAGACAAGAGGAGATTGACCATCCTTCTCCCACAGAGCAGCTGGCCTCGAACAATGTGCCTTCAGGATGACAGTGCAGCTTCCTGCCACTAAGCCACCAGAGCTCCCTAATACATAGCTCATTGACGCTGATGGCCTAAAGGTAAGAAGCTGCACTACAATCCCAAAGACACACAGTTTAAATCCACCAGTTTCTCTGCGGGAGAAGGATGAGCTGTCCTCCTGAGTGATTACAGCCTCTGAATATCTGCAGGAGGGTCAGCTATGGGTCAGTTCTGACTTGATGGTACACATCACCAACTCACTGACTGTTTATCTTTGATTTTTCAGGTTCTGGGCATGTCTGTGATGAATAAGGTATGAACAAGGATACAGAAGATGATAGAAATAGTTGATATAGATTGTAGTGTGTGTGTGTGTGTGTGTGTGTGTGTGTGTGTGTGTCTAGTACTTACGTAAGTCATGTTTCATTGAAGTGCAGTAAACATAGCATTTCCTCTCATTTGACTCCAGGGCAAAAGATCCTACTATTTACTAATTAATTCCACTCTGAAACTGAGATTTCTGAGCCTAGTCTGAGGTAAACCAAGGTATTCTATTCCAGTTTCAAGTGTTTTGAAACTTAAACTAGTGTTTTGAAAGTTAAACCAGTGTTTTTTCAACTCTGAATTATGACACACTAGTTAGATAAAAATGTGTTAGACTTAAAAGATAACTGGGAAAGTCTACAGTCAGGGATCTCTCTAAAGTATTGGGGAGCAATGATGCTAATTGAGGAGCAATGATGCTAGTTTGAGGGCTAAGGAACACTTGATTCAGGCCATGTTCTTTTCAATCACTTGCCATACTGCTGAGAGCTAGACAGTAAGTTACAATGATAGAAGAAGAATTGATGTCTTTGAACTGTAGTGTTGGTGAAGAGTAGGGAACATATCTCATGGACTGCTAAAAGAACAGATAAGTCTTAGAGAAGGTGCGGCCAGAGTGCTCCTTGGAGGCAAAGATGGCAAAACTTGTCTCACATACTTCAAGCATGCTGCTAGGAGAGGCTATTTCTGGGTGACGGACATCATGCCTTGGAACATGGAGGGATGGTGAAAGAAAAAGACCCTCAACAAGATGAGTTAACACAGTGACTGCAGCTACAGACACAAGTATGTCAGAGATTGTGAGGATTTCACAGGACAGAATTGGATTCGTCTGTTTGTTGTACTGTGAGTCAACTCAAGGGCACCTAACAACAACAATAGATAGCCTGAACGTTCTCAGGAAGTAGAAGAGTACATAAAAATATAGCCTTGGCAACTATTTAAAAAATTTGTTTCTGGAATATATTATATAATTTATGCATATAAGTACCAGGTAGACCAGTAAACTATTTCATGTAGGTTATTTGCTAAAGAAACCTAAGCAAGTTATCAATAGGTGATAAAGGGAGATAATGACCTTTGTTTTATAACTTCCTTGTAACTTCAATAAGGAACTCTGGTAGTATAATAAATTATGTTAGAACTGTTAACCAAATGGTCAAAGGTTCAAATTCACAAAATATTCCATGGGAGAAAAATGGACCCTCCAGTAAAGATTTAAAGCCTCAGAAACCCGATAGAGGGTCACGCTGAGTCAAAATTGAATTAAAATCAGTGGATTTCGTTTCTTGATTTTGCAACCTCAATGCTAGGCCAGAGGTAGAGATGCTAAAGGGATCTAAGAGTTTCGCTCCTGTCTGGACACTTATTTCAACCCCAGGTTGAATGGTGGGAGATCTAGTGTGATACCTAAGACCTTGGCTTGCACCAGGATCCTTTTGCCTTAGGACATGGATCTGCAGATGAGTTTCACAAGAAGCATCACAGAGATCAGCATTGCTATTCAAGAGGCCCAGGAGCAAGGTTTCAGATTTTCCCACAAGGAATTGCTGCTCGGTTACATGCTGGTGAGTGTGCCAACAAAGCATTGGGAGGGTCCTGGAGAGTTCCATTATGAATAGTTCAGGGTTTTCATAAAAATGGTTACAATCTTTTTTTAAACTTTTTTATTATTATTCAAATTTGCAGAGTCTTTGGATTTCCATTCATTCATTGTTGCACTTTTCTCCCTGCCCACCCTTCCTGCCTAGTTCGCTCTTCTCTTATATAGTCCCTCCCCCCAAGACCACTCAACTATGTAGCCTTCGTTCTGGGCTCCTGTCATGACAATAATACCTAATCATATATCCCTTTTAAACAGTTCTTTCCCTCATCTGTGTGTGTGTGTGTGTGTGTGTGTGTGTGTGTGTTTTTAAAAAAAAAAAAGTTTAAAATCTATCAGTCCCAACCAACGCAGTTCTGTGTCATATTTTAACCAAAGGCACCCAAGGGTTCAATGAGGCAGCAGAAGCGTTTGGGATAGCTGAAGGCGTCCCATCCTTTCTGAATCATCAATCTCCTCGTTTCTGTTGTAGGACTTCATTAGAGATGAACCCCTGGATTCGTTAGCTACTCCTGTTCGATGGAAAGCCTTAATTGCCATCAGATACCTAAGGTAGAGAGTGTCTTTTTATTCTCCTTGAAAATGTATTTCCCAATTGCTAACTCCTGTCCCGCTCACTTGTTTATCTATCAGTCCACATCCCAATGCACCTACCTCAAAATGGCCATGGTTCATCAATGCGCTTAAGATGGAGGTGTTTTTGCCTTTCTAAAGAGCTATGAGTTGGGTGAGAAACTGATCTTTTGGGACTAAAGAGCAGCTCAGAGAGATCAGATTACTGATATATGAAAACTGAAATTCTGTGGAAATAAGGGATATTTTTCTTCCTCAATCATAACTTGTGGGCAAATTTTAATGATTCAATTCAAAATTTTTGCCAACTCTAATCCCATTCTAATAGGATAGCAGCAACAAATTGAAGAAGAAAATACTGTGAAAGCACACTTTTAAAAGAATATTCTTCTTCCAGAAGAAATATGAAAGCGCATACACTTAAAAAGATATAGAGGAAAAAGAGAGAAATAAGAGTTCATTGACAAAATTTGGAAAATACAGAAAATGTCTAAAAATTATGGAAATAAACTACAAAAATCCCCCTATTGTGGGATTTGGTAAATATTTGTGTTGTTGGGTTTTTTTTTTTCCTACCCATCCACTTTTTATCACAGAGTTGAAATCCTATTATGTATATGATTTTCTTCATCCTGTTTTTTTTTCTCATTTCACCACATTATTACCAATTCTTCCAGATAATTTTTTTCTAACTTCCTAAAAGCTCATTGGTTGCAACAATGGACTTCAAGATGAGGCAAACAGGAGAAAGTTTTAACTTAGCAACACTTGGAAAATGTATCCAGAAGGCCCTGGCCAATTCTATTACTGAGTGCA